ATCTTGAATCCATCACGTAATTCATACATGATCATTTTTTTAAGAAGTAAAAATGTTAGATCCTATAGTTAAACAAATGACCCAATTCATATTCATTTTTCTTTTTAAAAAAGTAATATCTGACGCAAATTATATATTTTTTTTCTAAAAATGTGAAATCTGATCCACTCCATATTTATTTTTGCTTGTACATAAAAAATGATTGCATGTGAGTTACATGGTGATTTCAATCTAAAAAGTGATTGAAAACTTTTGTTAATTTTCAAGCTAAATTTGTTAATTTGAATTTGTGAGGGATATAAAATTAATATTTTAAAATAAAGAATGAACAATTTTATTTAATAAAACGTGAAAGATATTTTGAACTGTCTTCCCTTAAAATAGATGTTTTTGGAGATATTTTTAGTATAACAATATTATATGTGAAAAGTTTTTAATGTACTTTTTTTTATGTGTTTTTCATGATGTATTTGAGATATTTTTAGAATTTAAAAATCTTTTTGGAGTATTTTTTAAAAACTAAAACACTACCCACCACCATCATTCATCATCATTATCCTTCACTGCCGATCACCACCACCGCCACCTCTTTTTTCCCTTCTCTCTCTCCCCGCAACCCTCTTCCTTCCCATCCTACTTTGTCTAGTCACAACCTGCAACCAAATGGGGAGTAAAGGAGGGGAAGGAAAGTGGGAGGAGCAAGAAGGAGACGAAAGTAAAGGAAGAGGGAGGAGGAAAAGAAGGAGAGAGGATGGAGGAGAGGGAAGGGGGCGGTGGTGATGATGGCGATGGATGTGGAGGTGGAGGAGGAGGGAGGAGGAAAGAGGTGGTAAGTGGTAGTGGTGGGTGGATGAAGAAAATGTGACAGTATTTGATAAAAATTTTTAATTTTTATAAATTGTATTTGTGATTGTGTATATTTTTGGAGTTGATACTACTATAAATTAAAAAAAAAAAAAAAAAAACTCGCCAGGCCATACAGTGTCCCGTCAGAATGTATATTCTTCTTACTCCTCAGGCCTCCTTTGAGGAAGGATTTAGGAGCAGTGGATTGACGGATGGGTCCCCCGAAATCACAGACCGTTAACAACACAACAAAGCGAACCGGCCGGGTGGGCTGGCTAAGCGTAAAAATGGTGTCTGCTGATCGGGTGTTGGGGTTGGCTGGCTCTATGGTATCTATTTGAGAGGCCTACGTTTCATAGGGCGGCGATCAACTTCTCTTTTTACAACGTTTATGTACGCTTCCCATTTCCCAGCAGTGATCAGCTGCGCTGTTTGTGTCCCTGGTTTCCACCAGTACCATGTCCTCTTTTCTTGGCTAATCTCGTCCGCTGTTCCCAATAATGCAAGCGAGCTTTCTTTTTGTTGTGTTTTGTTGGGTTGTGTTTGTTTACAGACGGGGAAAGATAAATACATTGAGACAGCTACTACTTGTAACTAGGCCTACACGATACCATGCTTCCCAGCTGCCTGCATTAGCCTTATGCCAACTGCTTTCACCAACTTTATTGAGCCCTTTTTCTTTTTTGACAGAGATCCTTTCCCAACTTTTCGTGTGTTTCACTGTGCTGTGAGTATGATCCAACGACTGAACCGGGAGATCGAGTCAAGTTTTGTTTGACTTCTCTTGTGACCTCCGGATCCTGAATCCTATGACCTATGTTGTAGTTGGTGTTGTTGCCAAAGCCCCAGATTTCATTTACACAATTAATAATTTTGAATAAGATGCCAAACTTAATTGGCTTTTTCAGTATCAAACGGAATTTAGACTTGAAACGGGTTGAGTTGTATATCTTTTGTAACCATGACCAACGATTTGATCTTTAAGATCAGGAGGCTCCTTCAACTTCTGTTGTCCTATAATTCTAGAGTCTGCGTTGTATCTAAAGATTGGAATGGTTAACATAGACATGTTATTTTCACGATTTGCATCGATAAAAATAACCAATTATTTGATAGAGATAGATTCTACTAGTAGCAAACCAAGTGCATGTGTATAAAAAGTAAACAAAAAATATTAGTATTACTATTTGAAGATCAAATTGTTTGTTAGTGCTTCTTCATGTGCGGACTATATTCTAAGAAGAATATATACATATATATATATTCTGAAATAATTTGTGACATGCGGACTCTAAGAGGAAAAAAAAATGGCCCTGAAAAATTTCGAATGACACAATGCGCATGCAAACTTTTAGACCTTGTTTGGATTGCTGGTTTCCGTCGAAAAATTAGGTCGTTTTCCGTGATCACATTTTCCTATTACATTTTTTCCTCATATATATCAAATCGCTACTGTAATTTTTCCATAAAAAATCACGAAAAATGCAATCCAAACACATTACTCTGCCAACAAATTATATATATTTAAAAAAAACCACTTATAATTGGTTTTCTGCTTTCCAATTATCCATGTAGTCATCCAACTACTTGCTGTAATACAGTCAAGTGGAAAACCATCAAACATCGGGATCCCACAGCATCTTGTCGATTATCTTTCTGTATACATACACAGTTTTTATTTGTTGGATTATAAGATAAAATAAATAGTAAGAAAGCGACTAACAAAAATAGGATCTTATTGTCATTTTCTTATTTTTGATGGAAATTCATTGAGTAAGCCAATATAGCACTTGGAAGTTGAACGTCAATATGGCTTTTGTATTCAAGCCAAGTCTAAGAAGAATTCAGTCAGACCGTCATACTAGTATTTTTTTGTTACAGTAGAAAGGATCAATCAATCAGAAGCAGGGCCGTAGGGAAATGGCCTTCCAGCTGCAGCACATATATATGTTATTAGTCAAGGGGCTGTACAGGAACCCTAAGTCCCACATCCTAGGCAAGTCCCGACTTTAGTCCACATTACCATGTTCCAATTACAGGAGTACTCGTGTGTGATGACTTGCACACCAAGTCATATCCTCCTGCCTTGTGGACATTGACTCGAACAAGTAGTACTAACTACTACCTACATGTTAGACCCCAAGAATCTTTGAATTTCAAAATAGAAAAAAAATAAATAAAGAATCTTTGAATATAATTAGGGATGGCAACGGGACGGGCACCTACCCAGTGAGAGGTCATTGGGACGGGGGTTGGGCCAGGGGAAATTTTTTCCCCCGGTTTAGAAAGTATACCCCCGCCCCAGCCCTGCCCTGCCATCCGTTTGAAAAAATATATATATACATAATTATATATATAATGATATTATCAATTATATATGTCTATTAATAAAAATTATTAATTATTTATATTAAATTTATTAATACATTTATGTTAAATTCCTAACTACACTTAATACAATAACACTTTTTTTCTAAAAAAAAACACAATAATAATTTAGTGATTGTATTTGTATCAAAAGTGAAAACTTGATTATTTTAGTTATATTTGTTTTATCGTATTAGATTGTATTCAAATAACCTTTGTTTAATTATTTTTATGAGTTTCAATTATGAAGTTACAATGAATAATAATTTGGTGATGTGTTGATATTTTAGTACTTAATTATTTGCTCAAATTTAATTATAATAAAACTATATAATAAAATTTTTTTAATCCCACAGGTGCCCCGCGAGGGAAGCTAGGCGGGGTAGGGGCCGGGGGAAATTAAAATGCCCCCGCCCCATTGCCACCCCTAAATATAATGAATCCAATGGACACAAACAGAAATTAATGAACTTGCATCTCAAAAGATGCATGAAGGACAAGAGAATTTTTTTTTTTTTTTTTTTTGGTTTTTAATCGACTAATTTTCTCTTTAAAGCTCCTAAATAGCTGAAATTGCTTCAGCCAGTCTAGTCCGGATACTAGAATTCTCCGGTGAAGGCTTGGTCCCTTATCATACTGGTTGAAACTTGAATAAATTAGTCTGTCTTGACTCTTGAGCATTAGACGTAGTATTCAATCCTTCTCCTCGCCTTGCCGGCTTCAGAGTAAATATTCAACGATGCACTCCCCACATCCCTAGACAATGACTGGGAGTTTTGATTCAACGATTAGCTTTTGACTAGTCCTTTTGGTCTAATCTCACAAGGCCGGGCAAGCCACTAGTGTTGTTTCCTTGCTACTATGGTCGTTGGTCTATAAAATGTTACTCCTATTCAATAATAATTCAAGGAGTATTATTGTTTGATTGTTGTGAAACGGTCCAAAAATCTCCACATTCCCAATTGATACGGCACTCAGAAAGGACTGGTAATTCAGAGACATCCCAGTTCGCAATGAACCTGTTAAATTGGGAATGCGTACGGCAACAATTGAGAAAAAAAAAAAGTTACTGTAAATTGTTCAGAAAGCAATAATTGCTTCTGTAACTATTCATTGGTATATATCTTTTACTTAATTACCTGTTAAAAGTACTACCAAAGATGGACATAATGACTGGTTCTCTTTCGCATTTTCTTTTTTCGCTCTCATTTGCTTATCCTTTTCAATCTCTAACCAAAAAAAAAAGATGTCCTAAAATCTTGCCTCAGTTTTTACCAGTTTTCCACGTCCCAAGGAGCATCATGTTGATAATTTTTTTTTTCTGTATTAAGACAAAATTTAAATGTTAACATCAGGCGATTAGATAAATCAAGCCGGCCGTGGGATCTTTACTTTATAAAGTATTTTTTTTTGTATATAAATAAAATTTTTAAAAAAGTGCACGAACCGAACCGCGTTGCAAATCTGAGCGCCAATTGTTATGAGAATTTTTACACTAAAGGCAAAAAAATTTACAAGCCCAATTTTCCATGGAAGATATACAGTAGTAGTAAATTCGTAGAATATATATATACACACACACACCACGAGAGGGATTGATAATGCCAACAATATTGTCTTGACCCGATTAAGATTGGACAAAAGCAAGAGAGCGAGATTCATTCTGGTATATGTATATACTCTATACAAATCAACATCCAAACGGACAAAAGTAACAAAGGAGTGAGACGAGACTCCAAAAAATCAGACAAAAGTAAATTGGATGAGTGGTAATTAATGGATGTCGATTTATCTCCATCTTGAAATTTATCGTTGAATGACTCTGCATTAATTACCTGAAAACAACCACGACATTTTATCATATATAGATGGAATTAATAATCTGACGGAAATGAAATTACAGTCAGGGCACTAATCCTTTCTTGCTCCACCGGCTGCTCTACCGCCCGTCATTCTCCTCGTGGATTTGTCCATTGCGTACCCCTCATTATCAGTCTCTTCTTCTTCCTCACCATCAGTTTCGTCGTCAACGACCTTGTTAACTATTTTGATCTCCTTCTTCCGTATCCCAATGCCCCACTTTAGCCAATCCGCAACGTCCATCATGAGAGGTCTGTTCTCCGGATTTCCATCGGTGCATCTCATGGCAATCATCACCGCCGCTTTTAACTGGGAGCGATCAAGTTTTCCCTTCAACCTGGGATCACCAATTAGATCGAATGCACCCTTTTGCACCAAGGGTGTAACCCACTGCACTATGTCCCGCTTAACCCCGCCCGGCAGCTTCTCCAGTGGCTTTCTACCGCTTATGATTTCCAGAAGTAATATTCCGAAGCTATACACATCACAGCTCTCCGAAACCTTCCCCCACATGGCGTATTCTGGAGCCAAATATCCTAATGTTCCCTTCACTCTCGTAGTCAGGTGCGTCACCCCGTCCGGGATTAGCTTAGCAAAACCAAAATCAGCAACCTTCGGTACGAATTCCGAATCCAGAAGTACATTGCTGGCCTTTATGTCTCTGTGTATTATGTGCGGATTTGCTTCGTGGTGCAAATACCTTCCAAAGAAACAAAATAAAAAGGTGAAACTACAGAACATTTTAGCAATACAAGTAAGCTCTACAGAACATTTTAGCAATCTTTCTCCACAAAGTCAGTCGATCGATTTGGGTACCAAGTGTACAACAATAGACTCTACATGCATCTTTTTTTTTTTTTGGATGCATATGTACATATTTACTGTTGAAACTTCAAAGAGAAAATTGAAAGCTGGAAAGCGAAAATGTGCACAAGGAATAATAGCAAAAGGATATAGTAATTCAGATCAAGATGGGAAAAAACTAAAAAATCGGGAATAATCACTAAAAGAAATTAAAGATATTAGATCCACGTACGCTAGTCCCTCAGCCGATCCAGTTGCAATACTCATTCGTCGTGACCAATCAAGAAGGCAATCGGCAGCGAGTTGACCGTGTAGATGAGTGATCAAGCTATGGTTAGGCATGTAATCATATACGATCAACCTTTCATCGTCTCCAGCATAAAATCCCCTTAGGCCTAACAAATTCTTATGTCTCACTCTGCCAAGTATCTCTACTTCCACTGCAAACTCCATTTCCGCTTTTGCACTCAAGGTCTTTAGCCGTTTCACTGCTATCTGCGACCATCAATAAAATCCAATTCAGCCTTTAGAGCCCCTCAAAAGGGGAAAAAAAAAGAAAGAAAATATCAGGGTGTTGGGGCCGGGGAAGAAAAACAAGAATAGAAAGAAGAGTGAGATAAAACATGATTGCCTCGACGCCTTTACTTGTTCGACCCCGGTAAACGCTTCCGAACCCGCCTTCGCCAATCTTGTTATCATTATGAAAGTTGTTGGTTGCATTTACAATCTGCTTGAGGGTGTATACTTCCCATGGATAATCCCTTTTCTTGTTAGCGCTGAGATCAAGCCATAAAGGATAAACAAATTAAAGACGATACAAAGTGTTTTTATTGGAGCTCTTATGTACAGTATAGATGGTAAGCCGATCGAACATGGAATGAGATCTAACCTGGAGTTTGTTGATGGATCATTTTCAGATGAGAAGCAAAAGCATCTCAAGAGCATGCTCTTGCCCATTGCCAGTGCTGATGAAAAAGAGGGCGTTAGAGATATTGACGTATTAAGGCGAAAGGAAAAGCAGCAAGCAGCAAGGCCAAGGAGGAGGCGAAAACTTTCTCGGATATAACAATGCAAAGTGGAACTGTGGAAGGAGTATTGTGGTGAAGACAAAAGGCAGTCGTTCATGTCAAGCTTTCTGGAGATTAATATGTATATGAATTTTATCCTGTAGCTGGAGTTTTTCTATTGTCGTGCCTGATTCTTATAGTAGAGTATATTTTTCTTATTTTGACTTTTTCTTCATATCAAATGCGTTACAGGTAGTTTCCTGTTGAAGGTGGTGGGGAAAAATAAATTAAAAAAACACCACAGGACACCATTTACGGCAGCTTGTGGAGCTTAGGAGAAGTGTGTTAAATATGACTGGGTAGACGAAATTCATCAATCAGTAGTATTACATATAAGAATTGTTTGGGAAAGTATAACGAGTATTTACAATACAGTCTGCTCAGTCAGTGTTGTGTAGATGATTGATTAGTGTCAATTAAGCCAAAAATACCGAGTGTGTATCTGGATTATACCTGACAATTGGGTGGATTTTTGGCCGGTTAATATTGGGTTTTCACTTAAATGGATAATACCCAACTCATCCAACTTTAAATTGGGTTAATTTTGGGTGGAGTTATATTGGGTCATCCATGACCAAAATATGACCCAATATATTAATTAATAGATTTTAATACATAAATTCTCTCAAATACATTTTTACATTAAAAAAAAAATTTCACACACTAAAACACTTTCACAAATACAAACACACGCTCTCTTCTTAAGCTCTTTAGAAATATATTATTATTTTTACACACTAACATACTTTCACAAATACACACACATACTAACTGCTTAAATTGTTTGGACGAACTCATTACTTTTTATACAAGTAAGATTTTCTAAAGGGATAGTGGATATAGCTTTGGTCCAAACTCCAAACTCAGAGTCAGAAACAAAAATTTTGGTCCAAGTTGGATATAACATGAAAAAGTGATACACCAATATACGATTTTCCAAGTCTTGTTACTTGATTAAACATTAATTATACCAAATATATTTCTAGTCTCATAAAAGATCAAATCACGTCTTAATTAAACTGAAATTTTGATGAGAGAGATACGATTTTCAACCAATTAGTTCAAATATCACTACCCAATTCATTTGAAAATTTTTGGGAAAAATTAACGCAGCATTAAAACAGATCCAACGACACTTCAACCATCCACCAGTCACCAATAAAGCACATTCCAATGTCTTCCGTCCTACAAAATTTTTTTTCGCACTACAGTCATGGAATAAGAATACAATGTTGCATACAGACCATCCGCCAATGCACAAAATGCTAACAAGGCTACAATTCGAGTAGAAGATGTATATACTATGCATGCTTCTCGTTAACTCTGACGTATTCTTTTGAAATGGAACAGCAACTCTTCAAGTGCCGAGTTCAATTTATAACTCATGCACTCAAAAATAAAAATAATAAAATGCTTGTGGAATATGGGATAGTTGACCGATCGATCAGACAAACTAAAAGGTTCGGTTTCCCACAGGCTTCCATTTTTTTTTTTTTTTTTAAACTACTGGGCCAGAGGTGAGATTTAAAAATTGGGAAAGGAGAAACGAGTATTTGAATTTATGACCCCTAAGTTTTGGGGCTTTACCACAGCTCTCTGTTTATGAAAGTACAAAAAAAAGAAAAAAGAAAATTTTCAATATATTTTCTTGATAATGGGTTCAATCAAAGTTGAAACAAATGAAGGATATTAATTCTTGAGAAACTTCGAAAGCTTTTTTCAAACTTCGAATTTTGTCACGGAAATATTACATGACTTGTGGCTGCGGGATTACATTTTAAGAAGTCCTGCAGAAAGAAGCACTCGAAAAGTATGCTAAAACTTTGACCCTCTAATTGAGTAATTTATATATATTCTGATGACAATTGGATAATTTTCTGAAAATGGACCCGAATTGCCTCTAGCATTTGTGGTCTAGCCGCACTCTAGTCATCATCGATTCACTAAAGAGATTTTCCTTGAACACATTTCTATTTTCTAAGAAAAATTTTAATATTTTTCGTAAATATATTTTTTATTTATATTTTTATTACATATACATCAAATTGATATAATACATTTTTTTTTTTCAAAATTCCAAAAAATAACAATGCAAATGATAGCAACTAAGGAGATTGAGTTACGTATTGTTGCGTTGGCTCTTAGTGGGCTCTTAAGTTGGGTCTCTACCCAAATTCTTGACGGGGTCAGTTTCGGGTACTTTTGATTCCTTTTTTTTAAAAAAAATATGTATATATTTACCGGGCTTGGGCCAATTGGTAAAAGATTGTACATACTCTTTCGAGTTCTACTCCGTTTCGGATGGACGGGATGTTGATTTCGTTATGGTATGGTCGGCTTTCGAGCTTTTATGCTTGTACACGTTTGGCCCTTCAACTATTATGCTGTCTTGTATTGCCCTCTAAATTTTGAAAATAAAAAATTTAAAACCCAGCAGTCAAAACTAATAAATTTAGATTAGATTTATGCTCAATGCACAATTATATTTGATCCAAGAGCTTTCTTTTTACGTAAAAAAAGAGAGAGTCACAATACGAGGTCTTAATTCAACACAAATTTGACCAAAATAAAACACATTCTAATGTCCTCATGATATGAATAGTTCATTGATACAAAGTATTAAAGATTTGGACGCCGTTTAGGCCTTGAAATAGTTGAAAAAAAAAGTCACTGTAGTGAAAAGTTGTGCCTTTGGAATTTTGAAAATTACATGCTAAATTCCTTGTCCATTTGAACTCTAATAGGTTTAACAAACATATTTGTATAAGATTCCAAAGATTTGGTATCATATTAGTAAATATAGCGTAAAAGTGTCAGATTTGACATCCAATCTAGCTATTTAATGAAATTCAGAGAGGATCAAATTCAACAGCTACTCTAAGTAGTAGTAAGTAGTAACAAACAATAGGCGGTCAGACATAATAGGAATGGGGACAAGGGGCACGGACGGTTGCACCTGCAACCGTTCCGGACGATTTTGCTCATTTTTAACTGCGCGTAACTTTCTTTGTACATCGCGTAACTTTTTTTGCACATCGCGTAACTTTAGAGCAAATTTTTGTGGATCCCACACATGGCGTGGAAATCGAGTTACAACTTGTGATCTCAACCGCACAAATTTTTGAGGCCAGATCATGGCCATTAACCGTTCAAGGACGGTCATACTGATGACCGTCCCTGCCCCATTTCCTAGGAATGGGGAGCTCCGTGTCAAAATAACCTCATTTTGAGGTTAAAAAAAAGAAGTTAAATTAGAATCCATTCGTAGAACATTAAAAATTATGCACCTTTGTCCTTCAATAACCTACAAGTAGTTTGCACATAGTAAGCCAATATATTACACCTTTACATCTTATTATACATGAATTCTGAGAATCCTTAGTTTTCATTTTAAAGCAAAGGAGGGATGTAATTTAAAAGACGGGTAAGAATAAAGGAATTTGAACCAATACGCTTTATATACATATATATATATATATGTGCGCGCGCACACACACAAGAACGCACAAGAAATGAAATGCGAATGTTTTACACCGTTATTTCCTTAGTTTGTTTCCCCACAAAATGCAGAAAAAAGAAAAAAAAAAAAAGAGGGAAAGGAAAGTCCTTTCCTGGCTTGAGGATGTCCAAAACTATGATCAAGCGTTATATCAGTTGTGCAGGATGCTACCACATGTTGCTATAAAGATCTGTCACACAAAGATGCTTGAAAACCAAGAAGAAGTAAAGTTTGCCAAATTAAGTACATCTCCCATCAGGAGCCTTACTTGGAGGAAACATGCATGGGCATACATCTCTATAATTAGAGCAAATGCAATTCCGAAGCAAGCGAGCCTAGCCAAACAGATGTAATTAAGACAGTTCCAAACAAGAAGAATTTGAAGAATATGGCATCCAACCAAATCCACCGGCCACCGAGATTATGAAAGATGCGAGAATGTTAGTATATTTTGTATATCAGCTACAAATTAAGGTGCTTAGACCGAAATTGTAGCAAAAGGAAAAGCCAATTTAAGTTGTTTGGCACCTGAGAAGCAAGAGCCCAGCGTAAAACCGGATTGCGCTATGACAAAGTGGTGATATTCTCACGCAATATTTAGAATAGCGACTAGAACCGTCCTTCTTCATCATGTCCAGAAAATTCTTGCTCTAGGCCATGAAATTAATGAGCATAAATCATAAAACTCAGAGTTTATTTCATAATAATATGTATACACTATCTAGATTAATTACATGATATATATATATATATATATATATGTGTGTGTGTAAAATATAGATTTCAAATTAATTATCAAGCATATATACAATTAGCATATAGAATATTAATCCTAAAACTTCACGTTTAACCACAAGAAAGATGTGTTGAGCAAAATACACGGCTCACCAACACAAGCTTAGCAAAACCAACATACATACCATGCATCTAGTATCTACACATGACCTTTCTGCATTCAACGTTTCTTTGTAAATTTTGTAGAAACTTGCTGAAGCACTATAAATTGCTTAATTATATGGGCAATCAACATGGTAAGTTATGAGTGAGATTTAGAAAAAGTGAACTTAGGCTGTATTAAATCATGAAGCTTATTTCAATTTTCAGAATCCTAACTCCTTTAAAATAAAGTGTCGTAAAGGATTTGTATTTGCCCACAACTCTTTGCCAATCAATAAACGACCTAAACTTATTCAAAATCCCTCTCTTCTGCAAATAAATGGTTCCATTTTGCTCGAACCTTCAAATACTTGGGGGTTCTCAAGCTAAATAATGCACGAGAATTGAAGTAGCTTAATGTAGCATGATGTTTTTGGTCCTCACTTATCAGGAACGGTTTAGTTATATACCAAAAGAACAAATGCATCTGTTCTAATATGATTCACCTCTTTGTATTGCGAAAAGATACTCTCTCAAGCGTCAAAGAAAGGCACAACCTGAACAACTTTATCTTATCATGCATGAAGCAGCACAACTTCCAGCATGCATACAGCTTATGCCAGTGTGGGAAAATGTCTAATCATCACCTTGGAACAAATAACAAGTATTTTTTCTAACTCATATGCAAATTATAGTTGATATACAATTTTCCGTGAAAGTCTATCTTGTTTGACAACCCTAATTTTCCATGACACTGCATCAGTAATTAAACGTAGACAAGCGGGAGGATACTTATAAATGATGGATAGTAGGATATGCAATGAACATCAAATAAGTTGAGAACCAATTTCCATTAAACTTTTCTGGCATATTCGATCTTGTTGGGAATGTCAGAAATTTGTACCATACGAAATGCTTATTCATATTCTAAACCTGTATATTCAACTGGAACTGTGTAGATTAAAAAAAAAAAAAGGGAACTAAGTTTGTGATTAGCTTCCGTCAATTCTATTCAACTGTGATTAGAAAATTCTGTAGTCTAAACTGTGTCATTAAGTTGACATATTTGCCTTGATTAACTTGAGCACGCTGATAACGTATCATCTCCTGAACAAATCCAATGCACTTAATCTGTATTTGACATGGCAACATAACAAATTGCTGACACTTCGCATTAAGCAGAATGAATTTCTTTGTTATGTATTTATCAAGCTTCCATGATTACTGATAAATGTATAACAAAGCGTAAATGCGTGCACCAATAATTAGATCGACTCAAAATATGGAAGGGAAAGAACGGTGAAATTCATATCATCTCATCTTGCACAGCACAATCTACCAGATTTAGCGTATTAAAAGGCAAATGTTAGAAGAGGCCAAATACGGTAGAGTGTGATAAGCAAGAAGACATCATACATCATGGTCATGGCCAAAGACAGGCTTTGAATTTCAATAGAAAAGAATCTGGATTTCAAAATAACCAGTCCATGAAACTCTTTTTTTTTTCTTCTTTTTAATAGCGGATGTAAACTAACCTAATACCGAGTTTTCATTTTACTAAATGAGAACCTTACAAAAAGCAGGCAGGAAACTTGAAATCTTCAGAAACCTCTAACTCTTGAAGCCTTGTAAATTCTGTGCTCATATAACATGAGTACCAATTCTGGTATTGCACCAGGGCTAGAAGTTAGAAGTTTTTCCTAGTCATGACTTTTTCAGTCAGCTTTTGTTGCAGAAAGATTATATCAACGTCCATATGACTGGCCTGCAAGATTATGATACAAACCATGCGAATCAAAAGGAGGCACACCAGTTATTTCTGTGGAATTCATTTCGCTAATTCATCATAACTGTACCTCAGTTTGGATTGTGTAAAGAAAATTTTCATCGACTTTTGTGCAGACACAGTTTACAACATTAAGACCCTCGTCAAGCAGCATATCCAGTACCCTTGATAGAGGAAAACAGTTACCTGCCAAATCATTCTTCATCAGAATCTCGATACCACCACTCTCGCATTGCTTGACTGTGAACGTAGTAGACGAGGAGTTTGTTTCCTCAACACTTTTGACGTTCAGATCGCTCGATCCACCCATCAAATTTCTAAGCTTGTCCCTCTTTACCTTCAATTCCCTAATATTCTTTTCCTTGTGTGTTATATAGTTAACTGCCTGATGAACTTGATCAGACATTGAACGCTTTCCCTGAAAAAAAAAATTGTGAGCAAATCTTGATGTCTTACAGTACAACTAAACTAGCACCAAAAAAAAAAAAAAAAGAAAGGAGTTATTGTTGTATTTTGTTGAACAGGAAAAAATTGAAGGAATATTTGTAAAAGACGAAAAAAAATGGGTTTAAGTACGTATGATCCTACCGAGCAAATGCCAGAAGGGAACACTAGATGAAGATGATCTTTCACTTGTGATTATGCATAAAATGTGAGAATTCACCCATTAATTGATCAGCTAGTACGGTTCAATCACCTTTATGTATTCAAGAGGAAGTAGATTCCTGAGAGAAGCATAAAGATTAGCCATTTCTTGCCTCCTTAGACGCTCAACATCCCTATGAGCTGCTCTTTTCTGCTTGCTGTCATCAGGATCATTGTTATCAGCTGGAATAGCTGATGATGGTTTTTTTCGCTGCCTTCCCCTGGGGTGGTGGTTGTTATTGTCATCGTCATCGATGCTGGTCACCTGATCGTAATGCTGCTGTTGATGGGGAGCAAGTGAAGATGCAGCCTGATTTCCCAGATCTTGATGATGGATAGTGTCGTCTAGGTAAGGATGAATGGTAGGGACTGTGAGGTCATATGGAAAAAGCTGGGAATCATCATCGTCTTGTTGTAAAGGAATCAAAGAGGAAGTAAAGTCATCCATGTTCAGACAACTGCTCGATTTCTTGGGTTGATATCTTCTGATGATATGATGAAGATGCCAAACTAGGGATACGTTTGTTAGGGTAATTTGGTATGATGAGATCCCTTAAATGGGCCGAGGATGCGCAGATATCTGCCATATCTTCTTAAACTAATACAGAATAGGAGTGACTAGTGACCCTTTCCCTCTCTGATAGGGGGCCATTAAAAAAAAAAAAAAAAGAAGCTCGCTTGGTTACTGTACGTCTGCACAACAAAATTTCACAGCTGAGTTCACACCAGCGGGTCCAACTTCTCACCTACAATCATATACACTAAACCAAAAAAAAAAAAAAAAGCACTAATATAATAAACTTTAATTGTCTCGTGGTCTTTGTGAGGTAGGGATGAATGGTAGGGATTGTGAGGTCATATGGAAAAAGCTGGTCATCATCGTCTTGTTGTAAAGGAATCAAAGAGGAAGTAAAGTCATCCATGTTCAGACAACTGCTCGATTTCTTGGGTTGATATCTTCTGATGATATGATGAAGATGCCAAACTAGGAATACGTTTGTTAGGGTAATTTGGTATGATGAGATCCCTTCAATGGGCCGAGGATGCGCAGATATCTGCCATATCCTTTTAAACTAATAGGAGTGACTAGTGACCCTTTCCCTCTCTGATAGGGGGCCATTAAAAAAAAAAAAAAAAAAAAAAAAAAAAAAAAAAAGAAGCTTGCTTGGTTACTGTACGTCTGCACAACAAAATTTCACAGCTGAGTTCACACCAGCGGGTCCAACTTCTCACCTACAATCATATACACTAAACAAAAAAAAAAAAAAAATGCACTAATATAATAAACTTTAATTGTCTCGTGGTCTTTGGATATCTTTTCATCAAGTGACATGATCATAAGGGAAGACTCTTGCTTCCTATTCAGTATTTTGATTGAATAAGAAGTAAACTTGACCTAATAATGCATGGTAGAAGTACTACTACTGTTTTCCTTTTTTTTTTTTCGAGAAACGTTTTTCAGGTTTTCTTCTAAGATTACGGAGGGGGAGACTTTGGTTAATTAGGGTGTTTATTTTATTTTATTTTGCAATACTAATTGGGCAGTTGCTGGATCGATGATCGATCACAATGATCTACAGATTTTAATTATACTCTGACTTTTTCGTAGTCCTGTTCCGTTTAGGAGCGGAGGACTATGGCGTAGTAAGATCACATGTTCGAATTGAAAAACGTTTTTGTTTTTTAATTATTATTTTCTGTTGTTTTTTTGTGTGATGGGTTCATAGGTCAATGACTTGTGATCATATTGCCATCCTTTTTGGAGGGAAGGACAAAATGAGTCACTTCTGGTTATTCCTGGCTCCTTATTGAGCGTCGGTATATTCAGCTACCTAAAGAAAAAGTTAAAATTCCGTCCAATTCACCCAATAGTAGTGAATCAGACCAGAGAAAAAACAAAATAATTGCAGTCAAATGATGGAGGTATAGATTCAAAGATATGGGCTGGCCCTTTTTTTTTTTTTTTTTTCTTCTGTGTCTTGTATGCAAGTGCATAAATTTAATTATCAATCGCCTCTTATTCGATTTATGATTTATTAAGTGAATAACAGAAGGGAAAGAAATATAAGTGAGAGACAAACAATATTTGAATGTTTATCAATATCTTCTAATCATATGGTTTCAAGAGAACGTGTATTCATACATGATGAATTAATGGTGAGAAATTACATTGGTATTTTCAAAATTTTAAATGGGAAAAAAATGTCATATATATATATATATATATATTTTTTAGCAAAAACGAATAAAACTGCATCAGAACTACAGGATTACACAGATAAGAGAAACTTTCGATTCTTTTTAACAGAAAATAAACAAATAACTACTTACATCTCGAATTAAAAAGTGGAAAAAGAAAAGGCAAAAGTGGAACTACTATACATGAAAATACCAAATTAATTTGGCAGGAGACATAAACAGGACATCTCTCGTTTGCTTCAACCCTTCACTTATTAGTACAAAGCAATTCTGTGGGTCCACGAGGGAGGCAGAGGGGGACGCTGTGCCCTCCCCCAAACTTGGGGCCTGTTTGGAACCTGAGTTTTTTGGGAGTTTGTCTAAAACTTTACTGTAGTGCACTGTAGAAGTTTTTGAAAAAATTTTGTAGAAGTTTTTATAAGATGTGAAAATTTTTTTTGTAAGGTGCAAAATTTTGTAGAAATTTTTGTAGAGTGAAAAACTTTTTTTTCCTTTTTTTTTTCTTCTTCTTTCTTTTTCTTTTCTTTCTTTCCTTTTTCTTTTCTTTCCTCTCTTTTCCTTCTTCTTCTTCTTCTTCTTTCTTTCTTTCCTCCCCGTTACCTCCCAGCAGCAGTCACACTCGCCACCCCTCTCCTCCCTTTCCCCTTCTCCTCCCGCCACCGTGACCTCCTCCCCCCGCCACCCCCTGTGCCCCTTCTCCTCCCGCCACCGCGACCCCCTCCCCCCCGCCACCCCCTATGCCCCTTCCCCCTCTGCCACCGTGACCCCTTCCCCCCGCCAGCCCCCTGCCTAGGGGTGCAAACGAGCCGAGTCGAGTCGAGTTTTAAAATTATCGAGTCGAGTTAGACTAATTTATATGCAAGCTCGAGTTCGAGCTCGAGCTCGGCTCGATTTAAGAAAAGGCAAGTTCGAGATCGACTCGCTTATGACTCGCGAGCTTAGCTCGAATTATGGCTCGCGAGCAGCTCGATTTTCTGGCTCGCATTTCGCTCGAATTTAGCTCGATTTCTAGTTCGAACTCGAGCTCGAAATTAGCTCGAGTTTTTGGAAATTTAGGCAAGAAAATAGCATTTTTATCCGTGTGGAGTTTTAGTCCTTAAAATATCAACAAACGCAATTCTAATCCCCAAATATCCAATTTGAAACAATTTAGGATAATTGAAGGATTTTTTTCCAATTTTTTTTTATGGAATTTAGTCATCAACAATTAGAAATGGCAATTTGAATCCATATCCACTTATCCATCCTAATAAACAAGTTTAAATAAATATGGATGACCATTTAAATAAATTATATTTATAGATTTGAGTTGTTTATCTATATCCATATAAATCAATTTATCAGAAATGGAATGCAACCAACCAAGGTGGAAGAGAGACTCGTCTTGATTTGACACAAATGATCACAATTTTCGGCCATTTCACCTTTGCACCATAGTTTAAAAAGCTCAAGTCTAATGTTTGTTTCTGGATTTAAAAAATAAATAAATAAAACTTACATACTCCGTTCTCACTAGAACCCCCAAATTAAGCACATTCCAATCAAGAACGGCTCTCTCTTTCAGTTAAATCATGATTAGAAATATAATCCAAAGTCCTTTATTAACATTACACTACTGCAAATAACACACAAATTTTAGTACAAAATCCACGAAAAGAAAGCAGAATTTGCGCTAACAAGGAATTCACACTTTACCGTCACTGTGATATCATTAATGCTGTTCTCTGTGGCAGATCTAGCACTGATTGTGCTGAAAGATGAAGACTTTAACAGAATCCCTGAAAGAATAGGAGATAGAAGAGAAAATCCATATCGGAAAAATGCTGATTTTGATGATCCAAAGTTGGTTCAGAGTTTGAAGTGCATTTCAGCTTATTAGCTTAAGAAAGAAAGTCTCTGTAAAAGGGCCGAATAAAGCTCAAACTTTGCTGGAAAAAAACACTAACCAGGTAAGCTCTGAAAGCCGACTGAATCCTAATAGCCGCCACTTCTTGCCGCCAGTCTCTGCCACTGCTGCCCGGAGGAGTAAAGGAAACAGTTCCAGCCTGATGACCTCTGCAGCTGCCTGAGCGGCAGCAAGAGCAGCCTCGGCGACGGCGGCGGTGGCAGCCGCACGGCTATGGCGTGTTCGTCGTAGGACCATCTAAGGCCACCGCCACCAGCATTTAAGGTCTTGTTGTCATAGTTGGAGGAAATGGAAGATTTGATGAGACACGGCGGCGGAGGAGGAAGTTCAATTGGAGGAAGTGAGGAAGGAAAATTATGTAACCTAATAGAAGAAGTGAGAAACAGAATAAGTTGTAAATTTTAATTGATTCAGGGGTATTTTTATAATTTCACATTTACTCGAGCCTAACGAGCAGCTCGTCGAGCTATCGAGCCTAAGAAACGAAGGCTCGAGCTCGCCTCGTTTGTATTAACAAACGGCTCGAGCTCGGCTCGAGCTCGTGTTGACCGAGCTCGAGCCGAGCTTTGACTCGAGCTGCTCGCGAGCTGCTTGCGAGCAGCTCGAGTCGTCAGCAGGCCTACCCCTGCCATTTCCCCCCGCCACCCCCTGCCCTTTCCTCTGCCAGCATGACCCCCGCCACCCCCTGCCCTTTTCCCCATCCTCTGCCTTTTCGCCAGCTTCTCCCTCCACTCTCCCTCCCCCCGCCCATCCCCTGCCCTTTCCCCAACTTCTCCCGCCACCTCCCCTGCGCAACCCCCTCCCCTGTCCTTTCCCTAGTGCGACCCCCTCCTCCCGCCACCCCGCGGACGGCGCTAAAATAGTCCCCAGGTTTCCGGCAAAAAGCATCGAGGAATTTACGGAACTTGGAACGCTTAGTCGAGGAGAATTTGCTCTTCTGCATCCAATTGAATAAGGAAACCATCACGTTGAATTTGATGTCAAATTCCTCCATTCTGGACTTTTTTGCTTTTTCTGGGCTATGATTTTGCTTGTTCGTTTCTTGGGGTTCTATTAGGGGTGGCAATTCGGGTCCAAATCAGGTTGGCGGTTCGGGTTCGGGTCAACCCGTCAGAAAATCTGTTGACCTGAACCCGACCCGCCAACCCGCGACGGGTCAGGTATGCTGACCCGAGCTCGAAAATTTCAGGTTGGCGGGTTGGCGGGTCGACCCGAAATGACCCGAAACTTAATTTTAATTTATTAATTAATCACTGTAATTTCTAATAAAATCAATTTCTCACAAAACTAATTACATAATCAAGTAATAAAAATTTAAATAAATAATTCCAAACCAAATCTAAAATAAATTAAACACCGTAAAAGTGTTTTATCCCAAACAAAATATAAAATAAATTAAAACAATATAAAAGTAAAAAATAATATATTATATTATTTGT